CATAGTTAAAAGCTTGACTGGGTCCAGGTCAGCTTTTTCAATATCAGTGAGTTTATTCGATAATAAAGATTGATTCTCATACACATCTTTAATCGTTCCAGCGTAGTCGAAATGTAGCTTAATAGGAGAGTGAGTGTCCGGTTGTTTAATTATATCTGACGAACCATGATCCATCACAATAGGATCACTTAATTCATTTCCATTTTCCAAACTTTCTTCAGTGGGTAGCAGTACTTCATTGGGTTCGATCGTGTGAAGCCGTATCTTTTTGGAATTGTTACTAATTCGACCTTTCTTCGCTTCCATATTTCACTTATGAAAGAACAATAATTTAATGATAAATAGATAGACAAACACAAAAAAAAAATAAATAAATAAATAAAAAAAATAAAAAAAAGAAATATATAAATACAATAAAATAAAATAAAATAATAAAAAGACAATATTAAATAAATAACAATTAACTATATAGTTAATTCGAAATGTAAAAATAATAATAATTCTAGATCACTCAATAGATTTAAAACCGACAATAATACATTTTTTAACTATACACGACGAGATAAAAATATATAACCATATGCGATAAAACAATATAACCAGTAGTTAAAGAAACATAAATGTAATAATAGTTCTAAGTTTAATTATTAACAATAACAAACAAGACTTATTTCGCACTATGTGTTTGTCGAGATAAATTCTACAAATGTCAAGTAAAAAGTAATATTTACTAGCTGAAACAATAGACTAAAGAATAAATAGAGGTTAAAACAATGCTTTAAATAGATTTAATCTATTCTAAGTTGTCCTGCGTGGTTAAAAAGATAAAAAAAAAAAAAATATGACGACGTTTGTTAAAAAGTGTAATTTTAACAAATAGACAATTACCAAGATTATTAACGAAGGTAGCACCGATCCGTAAAAATAGAATACAAAAATATTAAAAAGCGCGTAATACAACAGTGTTTAATAGAATTCTATTTAATTTTACTATTGTATATTTAAATATTCTACCAAAGATATGATATATTAATAGTCCAGCCGGTCCGGCCGTCACAACAAAGGATGAGACTATGTTTGCTTAATATACCAGAATGTAGACTGTTTACCAGGGGGTCGTCGTAATCCTGCAGCTTTGCAAACCAGCAGTTGGTATTAGCAATTGTTTACCATCAGAGTTCTTGTCAATGGGAATCCCCTCCACGGCATCAGCTCTGGTGGCTCCTCCAATGGCTGCCTTCTCGTCTAAGTTAAGATTTCAAATAACTTCGAAGTCAATCGTCCGAATTTGACGAAATTTTAGAAACTGATACTTCAATATACTAACTAGATATTTTAGTAATTTAAAACTCAATGAAACTTGGAAGTTAAGAATAAAACTAATTGAAGTACAGACACGATCTGTTCACTAAGACCGAACAGGCTAGACTTTTTTGTATACAGTTGTAAATATATAAATAAATAAAAAAATAAATAAAACATTTATTTTTATTTTATCCGATGTTTCGGCCCTTCATCAGGGTCGGTCAAATGAAGGAGCATTGAAAGACCTTTTGTATTTGTAATATTGTAATATTTCTCAATAAACAAGTTCTAAAAAAAAAGTAATTTAAGGGAGTCCTGATGAAGGCATAAAATTTAGACCGAAACTTCCGCAATAAGAAATATAGTTATTTATGTTTACCATTTTTTTTTACTAATCTCTCCAACTATTCTTCTCTTCAATTATTCAATACAGTCAACGATCAATCCATAATTATAAATAAAAATAAATTAAACAGCAAAATTATATATATAAAATAAATAAGAATTAGATAACTTAAAGATGAATATATTAAATAATAAAAAAAATAACACATACATACCTATATACCTATATTTACAATCAGCCGAGGGCACTCCGAGCCAGATTTGTCTCTCCAACTGTGGAGGGAAAAGTAGGACCCTAGGAGATCTTTGCACTACTTTCTCAACCGCGTCACTAATAACATCATTGGATTTAATATGTATTGGCCATTGCCAGAACTCCAATACACACAAACTATAAAGGGTCGCGGGGCCACTGCCGTTTTAACCTTCTTGAAGGATTATAGAGATGGAGGATACTGGATAGGAATTGTGAAAGGGAATTTGGATGATAGGTAAGGTTCTGGTGAAATTTGATGAATTTAAAATTTAAATTTAGCAGTGAATGATGAAAATGATTGAACTCCGAGCTGAAAGTGTTTACTTCACACAGATTTCAATCGGCAAACAAAAAATTTAATACTGAAAGAACAATCTTGGGACTCGATTTCGTATCAACCGGTTGAATGACCATTATATCTTTCTCTTGACCAACTGGTTTATCCATCTCTGCGCCTAAATGTCAAACGTACCTGTATTACTTAATTTAAGTTAAACTGAATTGTTCTGTAAAATATTAAAATTCGATTAGTATCTTTGTCAAAAGTTAGATTTGGTCAAAGTGCACTTTTAATCAGATTCGAAAATCAATTATAGGATAACCAACCATACACTCAAACAGTGTAGTAATTGGTAATTTAAATGTTTAAAGAAATATAGGGTATGTATTAAAACCATATAAATCAATTCTTATTGAATTTTTGTTAGGAAGCTATATATTTTTTGTTGTTGTTGGCACTAACGGATCCAGGATTTAATTTTTGGGAGGAGTCTTCAGCCCGAAAGATTTTTTCCCGTATGTATATATTAGGATAATTACTTCAGAAGAAAGAAAGAAACTAACTACCTATATGAAATGGTGTTTAACTGATTCTTTTAGTCTTATTAATAATTAGACGAACAATAATACTTTTAGAGATAGTTTTTTTCTTTAAACATGGTCATATTTCACCATTCTGAGGGGACTTCAGCCCGAATGCACCTCTCCCCCTCATAGATCCGCCTGTGATTGTTGTCTATAAAAAACTTCCAAATTTATATAAAATAGATTTCCTTGCTATAATTCATAGCAGGTTGACGTTTCGGGAAATTATACCCATCTTCAGAACTTTATATCCATCTTTCATGAGAAATTAATAGTAAGAAAGGAGTTTCATTAAAATGCAATACTTGTCAATGTATATGTTGTCACATATTTTCTATATTTACTTTAAACCTCGTGTGCTCCTTTGTCATGATTTAAAGTTTTTGTATCATATATAAAATGATAAAAATAATATTTAGCATTTATGTGACTAATAATTGGGTGTTGGCTGGCTACTTGGGGATGTTATTGACCTTTGTATCTGATTATTTGCTATTTTTCTATTAATATTTGTATGACTGTTGGTTACATAACATCATCTTTTAGATCCAATTACTGTATCTGATAGCAATGTTGGAGTATCGTTGGTTAGGTGTCGGTATTAACAGGTTTCTAAGCCAGCTCCGCCAAATTATGAAGGTTGCTCACAGCTAATGGGATGATTCGACTGAAAGCAGATCAAACAGGTGGCTCACATGTCGGCATGCTGAGAATCATTCTGATCTGATGCCATTTACTAATCCTATTACGGGAGAGATTAGGCAATGACTGGTTTTCTGTAGTTTGATCGGAATCAATCTACGATTACATCCATAATAATTTATTTAAGATTATTACTTTATTTTTGTCAGGTTGGGACTACCTTTATTTAAAACTAAATCTTTATAATGGACTTCCGGAAAGTACGTTGGGATATTTTGGCATCAATTAAAATTCTTTAATTGATTCTTTCAACAAAACCGATTTCCAATGATTCATTCATTTGGTGATTTGATTCTCATGAATGATAAGTACGAAGGAAGTTTAAGTTGGACCGGAAATCTTTTTTAATCTTGCATATCCTGTGTAGAAAAATTGCAAATGAAATGAAATGAAAAATAATTTAGAGCAAATTATAAACACAAAATAAATAAAACATGACAGTGTGGCGACACATTAAATTCAGTATTTACCAAATAATTGGTAATCAAAAATACAACCGATGAGAGAAACTGTATATATATATATACATACATAATTAATTTTAGTAATAATTTACACCTTTATTAACAGTTATATACTTGAACACTGTAATCACCAAATCTGGAATCAACTTACTCGTTGTCTACACAGATATTACAAAATTACAAAATATTACAAAATGAGTAAGTTGATTCCAGATTTGGTGATTGCAGTGTTCAAGTATATAACTGTTAATAAAGGTGTAAATTATTACTAAAATTAATTATAAAAAATATTGAAATTGAAGTTAGTCATTCTGTCAACTGAAAGGCTCATAAAAAATAAAATAAAATAAAAAACTAAAAAAAAAAACTGTACCACTACAACCCATGAAGGGTTTTGGATTCAGTACTATTTAGGGAAAGTACTGTTTCTTGGTCTACGGTTGTGCAAGGAGGTGATTTGACCGAGATCACGCTGAACATCTTTAGCGCTTTAACGCTGGGATCTTTAGCATTGAAAACTCAGTATCCTATCACTGAGCTACCCCTCTCTCTCACTGAAAGGCTCACATGAACCAAAAAGATGGAAAAAAAGTAAATAAACAAAATATTAATGTAAGTATGAATTACTTATGAATGTCCGAAATGTGAAATGATCATAGAAGAGTGGATTCCGAAAGTAAAAAAAACAATACTATTGGGAAATTTCCTAGAACAATCTCGGTGAGAATCAGTGAACTGAGATAACGGTCTAGCGAGGCTAAAAAAAAATTGACCGAAGTGACTCGATCGATTCCAACTAAAATGTAATTTTTTCAGTAAAATCAACTCTTAGATTATATTATAGATTCACATGCCCATATCTACCAATATATACCACATATCTAACTTGCGAGACCAAACGGTTTTTTCTATCTCGGATTTATTAGCGTTCTTGTCTCTCAATAAATCATCGTGGTCTTAAAAAATCACACTTGAAATAATTAAGAAATATATTTTTTTGTTGAATTAATAATGTTTTTATTTTGCCTTTACTATTTGCTAATTCTTTTTTGTTTTATTGTTTCAGGTGAGTGATCTTAAAATATTGAAGTAGCATGAACGACTTTAAGCTATTGGATTTCAAATTCAGGTTTGCTTAGAGTATATTAGTGAGTGAAATTATTGATTTTGTTTTCTTATGTTTCCTAATTACTTATATTATTTACAATTATATAAATCTATTATTGATATTTTAGTGGAATGACTTTGGTTCAATTACTTTTATAATTGAACCAAATTTAGTAATTAAAAAAAAAAAAGATTTTGGTGTAGATTGTGCCTCGGAGTTTCCACGCCTGATTGTAAATACTGTAATCGGTATGAATGTGTTTTTAAAATAATTTGTTTACCTTTAAGTTATATTATTTTTTGTATATACTTTTTTACTGATTATTATTTAGTTATTTTCCTTCTGTTTATTTTACATTTTTATACTGTACATATTGTGTGAATATTATCTTACCTCCCTTGCTATAGCCAACGTCCTTGTGACAAATTGTTATATTATTCAATAAATAAATAAAAATAATTGGTGAGAAACATTTACCTATTTATTTATTTATTTATTTGTAAATGCGGTTATAGTACGTTATTACAGTTATTAACAAGTATGTAAACAGTGACAAAGAAATCATGTTTTTATTAAAAAATGTTTGTGGTAGCAAAGTAAAAAAGACCCATATATTTTTATATCTATCTCTTCTTTTAATTTTGCTTTTAAAGCCTGATTCGTTTGATGTCTAAATTAACATTTTAACGAATTTAAACCGCTACTCTCAATTATTTGTCGCTGAAAATGTTTCTTTGATTTATATTTCCAAGTACTTCCGTAAATTACAAAAATATTCATTAATAGCGTATGATTTAGAAAAGTTTTAATTATGTATTTAAAAAAAAATAGTTATAAAAATAATGTATAGCTATATCCTTATTTATTTCGAATTAATATTATTATATCAAAAGTGGCGTTTTGGGATCAGGAAAGTTCATTCAGTAAGGAGCAGTACTTATATTCTCCTGTCACCGGGTTCGAGTCCGGCTCTGGTTGTTCATTATTTATTCTGTCGAGTCAGTTGGAGATCGACTTTGGGCTAAGAGAGGTTCTCTTAGGCACACTCAGAATCTATAAAGTGGTTACTCATGACTAATGAGAAAAACCTAGTGCTAAAGAAATTTCTCGTTCATCATATCACCTTCTTGTACACACAATAATCTAGAAACGGTACTTCCTTACAAAGTGCTGTGTATAACACGTGTTGGTAGGCTACCAGCCATATGTTAAACCGAAGTTTATAGGTATAAAATAATCACGAGTTCGCGTCGCGGTGCCGTGGGGGCCTTTAACTCTGGCGTTAATCCTCTGCCCTCTCCCCTTGGCCTGGTGAAATCCTCGTATAGCTTGAAAGGCGAAGAAGGGGTGGAAAAAAAAAGTGCTAAAGTCTAGGTGAGCTGAGCTGTTGCTGATTAAAGGTGGTATTTATAAAATCATGGAAACGCTAGTTGTATTTGTTTTACTTTTTTTGTCATTCCTTTTAGAAGGTACAGTTTTCTTAAACTCTATGGTATTACATATTGTATATTTATAACACGTTCAAGAATTTTTGTTGAATTTAAGTTTTTTTTTTTATCATTCTGAAAGTAATTTTATTTAAAAACTTAGCAAATTTTTGTATTATAAAATTTCATAAGAAATAATCTTAGTAAAAAAAAAATCTCCTTATTTCTAGATACAGTGCCTTCTGGAGCAGCCACTTGGTATTCTGTTCTCAGACCTTTAAGTTGAGCCACGTGGGGAACCACTGAATGGAACAATACTTAGATGACTTTCTGCCGATTGAATTGAAGTTTTACTAATAGAAAAGTTCGATAAAATAAACATTTTGGTTTAAATATTTTCGTTGTTTTTGAACTCTTTTAATATGAAAAATGAATATATTTTACATATAAATACTTAGCCAAAAGCAGACGTTTGTAATGGAATTTTAAATGTTCCAATCTACATCTCTTTTCATCATTTTCAAATTTTCAAAAAAAAAATTTTCTGTTAAAAAACAACAACTAAACAAAACATTAGTCAATATTAAAATAATATTATTATTGAAAAATGTTTTCCTTAAAATATATCCCCATATACTACTATTATATGGTGGTACCTTGTTTTATTCCTTATAAAATGCTTTGTTTTTATTTTTCTTCCGAAAATCCACAATTTTTTCTTCCTTTTATCAAAAGTTGGTCCTGTAATTTAACTCTACTTTTTAATGCAATAATCCAAAACAAACTTTATTTTATAAAAAACAAATACACTATTTCATTTTACATATTTTTTGGGGCAAAATTTACGTTTATAATAATACAAATAAATAAATTATATTTGGTTTTGGGTGGACCCATACAAATGGAGTTGAGTTTGTATATACGAAATCAAATTAAATACATTAATAGTAAGAACCAGTAAAATAAAACAATTATGTTTGATACAATTATACCTATACAAACTATCTTGAATAAACTAAAACATGATGTTAAGTCCTAATATTATTATTTACATATAATCTTAACCTTAAACTTATTTATGAAACTATTCATTCGTGAACAAAAATAGAAAGATTCCATAATTTTAAACAATCTTCGACGTACCAGTATAAATCATCAAGTTAATATTTCTTTTCTATATTTAGTAATTTTATTATTTGTTCTTTACCGTCACAGTTACCATCACTATATTTACTTAAATACTTACTTCTGAAAGCTTCATATGTAGGACATTACAACAAAAAATGGTATAAATCTTCTGGTTCATGTGTACTGCAAATGGGAGAATCAGCACTCCTATCTAGAAAAATATTTTGAAAACTGTAAGAAATAACTTTTAATTTCTCCGGTTGGCACAGTCTTAGTTGGCTAATCATTCTATGCTTTCTTATTAGTCCCTTAATTTTTAGATAATATTCACCGTTATTGAAGCTACTAATTTTTCGGAAATTTTGAGTTAAATATAGTTTGAATATCGAGAGAAAATTGACTAATGTTTTGTTTTGTTGTTTTTTAAAAAAGAAAAAGATTTTTTGAAAATGGCTCTTGGAGCCGAAACGTTGAAAAATAGTAAATTTCTAAATGTTGTAATAATGTTTTAAAGTTTTAAGCAAGAATTGTGATATTAAATAAGGGTTTCACAGATAATAATCTTATATAGAGTAAATATAATAATTTAAAAATCTAAAATTTCTTTACTTGTTAAGAATGTATTAATTAAGTGACTATTAATTCACCTTTTTGTGTGGAGTAACATTTTATGGAAATGTTTTACGTTTGTTTTACTGAACATGATCTTGAGTTTTTTTTTTTTTTTTTTGTATTTTAAATAAACAAAATACATTCCATAATGGGGCCATTTGATGATAATTATTTTGGGATTAAAATATTCTTGAAAGATGACTAAAGTTATTATTCATAAAATTGTATTGATGAATGCGGGGTCTCCACATCCTCAGACTGGACACCCTCCATGTTGTGTGAAAATATATCACTATTGATTAGTGAGATAATAATATTGATAGCTGGCGAGTTAAAATTATTAACAATCTTGAGAATATTAATTTTAAAAACCTATTCTCTATTTTTACGGAGTCCATAAAATTCCCAGCTTCGAACAGTGAGTTTGGCGACACTCTACCAGAATGAACGATATTATCTGACCCCAAAATTGTCTTCTTCATTCTTTTAATTAATTTAATTGAACCGTATCATCCAAAAGCCTCCATCGTGCTTCTGTTGCACGAAATACCGTCCCTTTGAAGCCTCCCTCTCTCCCCCCTTCAGTAAAGACACCTTCAAACAGTGCCTCCTCGACCATGCTTCCTGTTTCTGAAAATATCTCGTTTCTGTTTTAAGTTCCCTTGTTTTCCCTCACCTCTATTATTTTCAAATGGAATAATGTAATATTTATCTGTTCTATACCCAGAAAGATTCAAAATCTGTATTCATTATTTATTTTCTGATCTTTATTTCTACTTTTATATATATCTATGTAATACGAGTAAGGAGGAGTATTTTAGTCTTGTAAAATTTCTAATCTTAGTTTTCAACCAAAATACTCGTTTTAAAGTTACCTTTAATTAGGCCTCGCTAAATGGTCTTTGTATACATATGTATAAATATATATGTATACATTGGTGACGTAGCCGAACGGGCTGAAGCGTGTTATAAACACGAGTTGGTGAGGTGCAAAGACAATCTCAGAGTAATTACGATTTAGCCTTCCGGTGCCAGAGGGGCATTCATCTTCCGCAATATTCCCTCGCTCGGGAAAAAATCCGTTTGTCCTTAAAGGTGAGGAAAAGAAGCACTACAAAAAAAAAATCTATTTGGACACGGTACTTTATATAATAGATTTTAAACATTTTTCAATTTTCTGGAAAACGGCTCAACAATTTTGACTATGCGGCATCTGATTTGAGGTCTGGAATCTAGGCGGACACTATGAACAAATCATGTTTATTTTTTGTTTGCTTTGAAAATTTGGAATTAAGAGTTTTTCGAATGGGTTTTTCAGAAATACTTATCTCAACTTCGTTGTCCAAGTGTATTTGGACCCACTTCGCTTCTTCGGTCTGTACAAATTATTTCAATTCTTCTGGCTTTAATCTCTTGTAAGTCTTCAACACCTTCAACTCGGCCTTGAAAATATAAAATCTTTCTTGATTGATATTATTTTGAGTGGTTTTGAATGAAGCCTTGATGTTTTTGAAAATAAAGCAGAGAATATTTGGTGCAATGAATTTCGTATTTGTGGCATTGCATTGCCGAATATGATACCTCGTCACTTTGAATTTATAGATAATTATAAATTGTAATAACAGAGTAAAACTTAGATCTCGAAGTAATCATTTTCACCGTTCAACCCCTCGACGTATTCATCAACAAACATTTATTTTCTCTCATATATACACGCCAAAACCCTAATGTTGATAAACTGTCTGCGTTGTGGCTTTTTGATGGTTTCCACCTCTTGATAATTCTATGTAATTCTCATATCTAATATCCTTTTACTGTTGATTTTGTTCTTACTTAATTCATCAGTTTTCACGATTTACCTTCTTCGCGATCAGCTTCCCTTTTTACATAGATTGTCAATTCATTGCTTCTTTGTTGTATTTTAACAAATCCTTTTACACATTCATGTGTCTCTTCAGTTCTCTCCTCTCTTCAACCTGTTTTTTTTCTCTTACTTTTGTTTTCAATTCCGATTTTCTTCAAGCAACTTCTCCAGATGAAAGATAAAAAGAAAATTAATATCCTTAATCGTTTATAGTATTTTGTTTTAACATATTTTATTTATTAGTTATACATATTCCTGGCTCACAATAAATTTGCCGTCTACCTCGGTATTCAGCAAATATGATATCAAGAAGAAGACATGATAGCATAAAAAAAAAAAGAATACAAACGTTTAAACAATAAAAAAACGTTTTTAACAATAAATTTAGCTACTAAGAGTTTATTACAACAAGAAATTCTTTAATTCCAACTTTTTGATAATCACTTTGCCTAATATCGTTACCGTTATCGTTACTTCAATCCATGGTCATGGCTTCGGTAATTTGTTAGGAAGTAGTGATTCAAGGCCAACGGTTGTGCAAGAAGGTGATGGGCCTGGATCATGCTCGATTGCTAAGTTGTTTCTCTTAATTAATTATTTTATTAAGAGTACTTACTTTATAGATGCTGGGTGTTTCCAAAGTGAGGTTCTCGACTTCAGGGTCGATCCACGGCTGATGAAACAGAATAAATAATTTCGTATCATGACCGGATTCGAATCTGGAACCTAGAGCTTAGCGGCTCACTTGATGTTCTCCACTTCCCGCTTAATATCGATGGAATTCTTTTTTTCAATGACCTATGCTATGGGGGAAAAATTAAAGGGAATAATTCGAACCCGATTTGTTAAAATTAGACCCTTTGATAGATTAGTTTCTTCTACTAGGGGAGTTTTCTCAGAAATTTGAGAGACGAGAATTTATAACGCTCGTTAGCGAACGTCTTACTTAAGTCAAAGTACAGCAACAATAAATCTCTTTGACAGAGTTTTTAAATTAAAACTTAGAGCGATACTGGATGTTTACAACTTTAACCAGGTTTATTCCATTTTTCAATGTCTGACCCGAGTTTGGATGAATCGAGTCAAAGGTATTAATAATTGAAAGTATGTTTTAGAGGGAGAAATATAAGTGCGATATTGTTTATTATTGACTACATGCAGTTAAAAGGAGGATAAATGGATCTGTTTCTAACACCATTTCTTTTCTAGGGATTCGTTAGTGGTAAAGTCGTTATTTATATTTTCTTCCTAGTTGTACTAGCGTCTTTCATCTGAAGGTTTGTTTTAAGCATTGATTTATCTAGTAATGAACAATATCCTCTCACCCACGTCTAAACGTCATTTTGAAATCTGGCTTTTTTATTTAAATCTGAAAGTAGTATGCTTGTTCTGTTTAATCGTTGCATCTCTGCTCATAAAATAAGATCGCTTCCAACGCATCTCCTCAAGGGGTTAAAACTGTCACTGGAAGATTTGATTTTAACTGATGAGGTAATTATATGGAGAACCATGAGTCATAACAGTTTGGGCGGTAATCGATAGGTGAAGTTGGATAATGTCATCTGGCTTACTCCTTCATACTTCTTTCATATAGAAGTACTGCTTCTTGATGAACGATTGTTAAAGTGGACGATCACGTAGATCCACCAGATTTTATCTCTTAGTTGATTAATTATTCTTTTTTGGCGTTACAACCCACCATCTTCCCTTCCGCCGGTACTCCTTTCTAAGGAGGTACTTCTTTCGTTCATCCCTCCAGGCTCTTCTAGTCCTCGCAGTTCTTTCGACTTG